GTCCGAGTCGTCGGACAACTCCCAGACCTCCGCCTCCAAAGTCAAGGTCAAAACCCGCGGCCGACCACGCAAAGAGCGTCTCTCCAGCGACTACAGCGACGGTCAGTGTCAGATCCTCACGGGTCATAAGGAGGAGGAGCTTAACTCTTTGATCACATCAGGACAGACGTCACACTTTTAGTTTTACTTTAAATTCACACGTTTTCAGCGTCTGTACCACGAGAGTGTTCACGACGACACTTTTTAGAAAACCAGAACCGGACTGAACCGGAATGTTCTGACTCCCTCCTTCTGTCTTTTCTCTTAGTGTCGGCCTCCTCCAGAGACTCTGAGGAGGAGGAGGAGGACTATGAAGAAGAGGAGGATGACGACCGGAGAAGAAGAGTGAACAGAAGGAGAAGAGAGGAGGAGAGTCTTCGACGAAACAAGACGAGAGGAAAGAGGAGGAGATACGAAGACGAAGAGGAGGAGGAAGAGGAGGACGAGGAGAAGGAGAGGAAGAGAGGAAGGTGGCTGAAGAGAAGACTGTTAGAGAAGGAGGAGACGGAGAGGAGGAGGAGGTTAAAGAGGAGAGACGAGGAAGAGGAGGAGGAGGAGGACCTGGAGAAGATGGGGAGAGGGAAGAGGAGAGAGATCCTGTCCCAGAAGAGACGCAAACGCCTCGCTCAGATGCTGAAGAAGAGGCGACCTTCGACCGATGAAGAGGAGGAGTCAGAGGAGTCCGAGTCTTCATCAGAGGAGGACCGTCCGGTCCGCAAGAGACTGAACCGCATCGACTCTGATGAGGATGAAGAGGATGAAGAGGAGGAGGAGGAGGAGGAGGAGGAGGAGGAGGAGGAGAGACGAAAGGTGAACAGGGAAAGGAGGGCGGAGAGCAAAAATGACAGTGACGCTCAGGAAAAGGGGCGGGGCCAGAGCCTGTCCCCGTCAAACGGCCATCGGCCCTCCAGAGGTCCGGCCAAGACCGGGACCAAAGGTCCTGCTGTGACCAGGGACAGTGCAGGACCAGGCAGGCAGGGGAGACCCAACGGCCCCCTACACCCAGAGGAGGAAGAGGAGGAGGAGGAGGAGGAAGAAGAGGAGGAGGAGAAGGAGGAGGAGGAGGAGGAAGGTCACAAAGACTCCTTGAACTCTGTCCAGAACAGTCCGCAGTCGTGATGGCGGTGTCGGTTCCGCTCGCTTCTTTCTTTTTCTTTAAACCCTAAAAACGCTCTTCCTCTTCCTCTTCCTCTTCCTCTCTCGCCCGTCTCGCTCCTCTTCCTCGCCGTCGTATCGTGGTCGAGTCCTCTCCACCGCCGTCACAAACTCATCTTCACCTTCACGGCAGCAGAACGGACCAAAAGCCCCACCAGGACTGTCGGGGGGCGTTTCTGTGGACTCTGGGGTCACGGCCCGGTTTTGAAGGGTCCATCTGGCTGGATGATGTCAGACCTGTCCTGGTTCAGGTCTGATGGAGTCCAGCTCAGGACTCTGTATGTAGTGAACCTCCTAACGAAGCACTTGGTTCTTTCTCATAGCACTTAAAACCACCACAGAGGGGGGGGGCAGGGTCCGACCAAACACTCTGAGTCATGTGACCCTGAGGATCCAGAGACCGGACCTGATTTTAGGACAACATGATCACTATGATCAATAATCTATAATCTGTTCAGGAGGACTTGTCCTACTCCAGGCCGGTCCTTAAACTCGTCATCATGACCTCCTTACTCAGCAGAGATCAGCTGATTCGGTCACATGGTCTCTGGTTTCGACTTTTCCAGCAATCAGAACATAAAACAGCTGATCTGCTTTCAAGAGACTGAAAGTTTGAGTTTGATGAAAACTGAATTTAATTATTATCATTTTTTTAATTGATAAAAATTCTCTTAAAGGGATATTCTGATGTAAAATTAATTTAGGGTCAAACACACTGTAACACCGAGTTAGACCCCCCCCTCCAGAGATGAATGTTGTCGACCGCTTCCTTCTCTAGTTATACCAACTTTAGTAACGACCGCAGGATAGAAATACAGAGAGCCACGCCCCCAACCAAAACGCCACTCTATAGCCACAAATAATGCTCAGAACAGCACCTAACTTCATCAACAGGACATATAGGGTCACAGACATAGGACTATATTCAGAAAACATGAACTTAAGCGGGGGCGTTTCTCCACCTCTGTAGTCTATAAACTGGGCCAATAAACTTCTACTGTAGTAAAATGAAAAGGTAAAGGTGTTTTTATTATTGAGCCGAATTATCAATAAAATCATGATTTTGTTAACAGGTATGGATTTATGTGCTGTTGAGTTAATATATTTGAACAAGAGCACAGTAAAGTTAAATCAGCTAACTTTCCAATGAGGTTCTGTTACTGAACGGAACTACACCATGATCTACTGAGGTTAGTACATTTAGGGTCACAGACATAGTACTAGACACCAAACATCTTTTTAACTTTGACTCATTTCTTTAGCAAAGAGACTAAACACAACTCACCTACTCTCTTCCAGCAGACGCTTGTTTGTACAGAGACCTCAGGCCAGTCCATTACAGACTACAGCGGGGTGCCGCAGCTCAAGGAAGAACATTTATGATCATTTCTTCATGGAAATACAATCAAACAGAGACGCTAAGACAGAAGAACTACCGCGTCTGTAAAATGATTAATATGATTATTACTTCAAGGAAATGATAAAGAAATGATCATAAATGTTCTTCCTTGAGCTGCGGCACCCCGCTGTAGTCCATAATGGACTGGACTGAGGTCTCTCTACAGAGTGGCGTTTTGGTTGGGGGCGTGGCTCTCTGTATTTCTATCCTGCGGTCGTTACTAAAGTTGGTATAACTAGAGAAGAAAGCGGTCGACAACATTCATCTCTGGAGGGGGGGTCTAACTCGGTGTTACGGTGAGTTTGACCCTAAATTAATTTAATGACAGAATATCCCTTTAAAGGAAACACAGAAATTTAGACCTCCTATGAACACAGATCAGCCCAAACCTAGACCACCTGCCTGGTGTTGTGTAGACCCCCCCTCAGCTTGTCAAGTCTAGACCTCTGAAGGTGTGCTCAGGTATCTGGCACTGACTTCAGTCCCACGGTCCAGTTCTGATGGGTCCAGTTTTGGCGTGCTCAGTGATCCTGGACCTCTAATCAGCTGACTCTGCACATTCCAAGTTTGAGGAGCGTTCGAAGGTCTTTGGTTCAGATGTAGCTTCTTCAGTCTTCTCAGGACATAATGATCTAAACTGTAATGTGACCTTAGTGTGACCTTCAGATGGTTGATGAAGGTCAAAGACCTGAATGAGGGTCCTGAATGAGGAGTGTTCTGGTCCGCTCTGCTCCCCCCGGTCTCTGGTGGTGGGCTCATGTTTGCTGTACATACTCTGCCTGTCCGCTGTTCCTGTAATATAATAGATGTTCTGTTCTCTTAGTCCCACTGTAAAATATAGTGTTATATTTTCTATATGAAGGAGAGAGAGGAGAGAGGAGCAGGAGGAGGAGAGATGCTGCTGCTGTGAGGAGGTGAGGAGGTCTCCTCTCAGACTCTGCAGCTGTTGGTTTTTGTGAAATAAGATGGAGGAGGAGCCCGTCGTCGTCGTCGTTGTCACGGAGTCAGTCCAGAGCGGAGCACAGCTCGCCGTCAGCCCGGTGTGTCGAACACATTTTAAAGGTTTTTAACTCTTCGTGTCCCGGTGTGGGACCCACAGTGTTTTTAAGGAGGAACAAAGCTTTATTTTTGGATTGAGCCTCAGGAGCTCACTACTCAAACGATCTTTCTGTGTTTTCTCTACCAGCCACCTCAGCTCCTCAACAACTCCTGTACATATATATATATATGATTCTATATAACTGTTTTATCTGTGGCAGGTTAACTCTAGGCTGTAGACGGACGTTTGTCTCCTGGTAGAAGGAAAGAGTCCAATCACTGCTTCAGCTTCACCAGTTTAATCCTGCTGTTCACAGAGAAACACGAGGAAAACGAACCTCAAAACACGACTTCACGTTCTTCAGCCATCCCACCTTCATTCCCAGCTGGTGTGAGGACCTTCTCTGTGTTTCCATCATGGAGGACGTCAGACTTACAGTAGATGATCAGAAACGTCTTCAGCTCCAGTCATGGACCCCCCCAGAGTCCGACTGACTCTGGATCCACATCCACGATTCTGTCAAACGCCCTTTTCCTTCATTTTTGTTGAAGCTCTGATTTAAAAACAGCCTGGGATCTTATTTTTAGAAGATCTGGTTTCTGAAGGTCGAAGTTTCTGAAGGTCCCTCTGATGGAGTCAAAGTGTGTTTTCAGGTTCTGTGGATGGAGCGATGCATCCATCCAGAAAAAAGAGAGAAAATGTGGACAGAAAACATCGACACCGATCTGTCCATGAGACGGAAATGAGAGGAGGTTATTTCTGCGCTCATCATCATCATCATCATCATCATCATCATGGTTAAACAGACAGTAGTGAAGTGTAGTGAGTCAGACGGTGTTTGTTGTGGTTCATGTTTTCTGTCTCCTTCAGCAGGATCTGTGCTGATGTACAAACTGTCAATTACAGACGAGACTCCATTACTAATCACTGCTGATCATTCAGCCCAGGATCATTTAGGCCTTTCACTTCTAACTTTAGAGGAAAATCAAGAATAAGACTCTGACCCTGTCTCTGCTCTGAAACAAACAGGAGGATGTTGGTTTGTGGCATTAAGTGAAACCAGCTGGATTTAACCTCCAGCTCCAGGTTCTTTCAGGTTCTTTCCATCAATGATCAGGTTTCAATAAGAACTCCATAAAAACAGAAACACTGACTCTCATTAGGTAAAGAGGGTTCAGCAGCTGGAAAACCCCTCTGTTTCACTCTCAGACTCAGACTAACTCTGTTTCACTCTCTCAGACTCAGACTAACTCTGTTTCACTCTCAGACTCAGACTAACTCTGTTTCACTCTCTCAGACTCAGACTAACTCTGTTTCACTCTCAGACTAAGTCTGTTTCACTCTTAGACTCAGACTAACTCTGTTTCACTCTCAGACTCAGACTAACTCTGTTTCACCCTCACAGACTCAGACTAACTCTGTTTCTCTCTCAGACTCAGACTAACTCTGTTTCACCCTCACAGACTCAGACTAACTCTGTTTCATCCTCACAGACTCAGACTAACTCTGTTTCATCCTCACAGACTCAGACTAACTCTGTTTCACTCTCACAGACTCAGACTAACTCTGTTTCATCCTCACAGACTCAGACTAACTCTGTTTCACTCTCACAGACTCAGACTAACTCTGTTTCACTCTCAGACTCAGACTAACTCTGTTTCACTCTCAGACTCAGACTAACTCTGTTTCACTCTCAGACTCAGACTAACTCTGTTTCACTCTTAGACTCAGACTAACTCTGTTTCACTCTCACAGACTCAGACTAACTCTGTTTCACTCACAGACTCAGACTAACTCTGTTTCACTCTCTCAGACTAACTCTGTTTCACTCTCAGACTCAGACTAACTCTGTTTCACTCTCAGACTCAGACTAACTCTGTTTCACTCTCTCAGACTCAGACTAACTCTGTTTCACTCTTAGACTCAGACTAACTGTTTCACTCTCAGACTCAGACTAACTCTGTTTCACTCTCACAGACTCAGACTAACTCTGTTTCACTCTCAGACTCAGACTAACTGTTTCACTCTCACAGACTCAGACTAACTCTGTTCCACTCTCAGACTAACTCTGTTTCACTCTCTCAGACTAACTCTGTTTCACTCTCAGACTAACTCTGTTTCACTCTCAGACTCAGACTAACTCTGTTTCACTCTCAGACTAACTCTGTTTCACTCTCAGACTCAGACTAACTCTGTTTCACTCTCAGACTCAGACTAACTCTGTTTCACTCTCAGACTAACTCTGTTTCACTCTCAGACTCAGACTAACTCTGTTTCACTCTCAGACTAACTCTGTTTCACTCTCAGACTAACTCTGTTTCACTCTCACAGACTCACACTTCCATCGTCACTCTGACAGCAGGATCAGCTGATATCATGGATGTTGAAAAAAGACCTACTTTGTCTCTTGGGTTTCCTGAACCGCCTCTGTGTTTCTCTGGACAGGAAGAGTCGGTGTTTGTGGCACCGGCCTGAACCCGTTCTGCTGACGAGCGTCTTTCTCTGCAGGTTCTGTTGATTTCTAAATATTCAGTCAAACTTTTCTGGATTCAAACCGGCTCCACTGGATGAGTGTGGCTCCTCTCATTTCTCTGTTGTACTGTTCCTGTAGTGTCGCTGTAACATAAATGTTTTCTAAGTTATTAAAACTGACATCCCAGGCATTTCCTCGAAAACTCGCTGTGTCTGTGCCTCATGTTTTTAATCATCGATCCATGGAGATGTATTTTCTTCACCACTGAGATCACAGACCCGGACCATGGAAGCACCAAAAGACTCAAGAGTGTTTCCTCTCTGACAGAACATTACAGTTTAGGTCCACTGACCCTCTGAGGACCCTTAATATGAGCTGAAAAATTCTCTCTTATGACTTTAGATGATTTCAAACTGACAGCTAACAGATAAACACAGGAAGGAGGTGTATTACTGAAGTGAAGGGTCTTAAATGTTTCTCACTTGAAAACAGCTTAAATGTTAATATCATGTTTTTCTTTATATTCAGTTTCATTTTTATTTTTTAATCTAAAGTGTGAACAGACAAACATTGTAACTGTGACCAAAATGTCTTAGTTTAATTGGAGCGTGCATGACTGCTGATCAGTGTTTTTATCTCATTCTCTGCATCACTGTCCTATTTGGCATATTGAAGACTTTTTTTTTTTTTACGTTTCCCTAAATGTGTTCATCATCAATAATAATAATAATAATAATAATGTCATTTCTAATCTTTAGTATTATAACTTCTTCCTCCAGGGATTCAGAGAGTTTTGTTTTTTAAGCTGACAGTGACACTTCTGTGAGGGACTGACTAAAACTGAATATTTTAGGTTTAAAAAAGTTTATTTAAAGGTGACTGAGAACAGTTTTAGCTTCCAGTTTACACAGTGAAAGTAAACCCGATGACTGACTGGTTTGGGTTAATTAATGTGGTTTAAAAGCGTCTTTTATATCAGCGAACCTCTAAATATATAACATATAAAACATTTACAAAAATCACTATTCTGTTTTATTCATCCGGAATATCACCCTCTCAGTGCGTGCTGCCACCCTGTGGTCATAGTGGACAATTACAGGTAAATACAAATGACATCAAGTGAGGTATATTTACAAATAAAAAGTATTTCCGGTGAAACTTTCAGAATAAATTTAGTTGGACTTTGAAAGGATGTTGTATACAGCGGTTACATGTAAAGTTATCTAATGGTTATATTTCCACATATAGCTGAATAAGAAAATTAGAGAGGTCCATTTGGAAAAAGGAAATAAACTAAAAGACGAGGACGTTGGTGGTTTGTGTATTTGACATACAGTATATTTAAAATGTTATACTGTTGAAACTACTGTTTCATTACAAGATTATAGTCGGTTTCTGAAACATACTTAAAACCTTTGACATAGAAAAATAAACTGAAAATTGTAAATAAAGTGTTCTACATATCTGAAACCATCAAGTGAGAAACACTACAGTCCTTATGACACTTTCCAGTGTAGTAACAAAGAGTGACCACCGGAGGGCGCCCAATACCAGCCCAGCTCTGGGTCAAGCGAAACAATATGATATCATATGATATCTGGGGTCAGTCTTTGTGGATGTGTTCGTGTTTATCAGTCTAACTTGGCTAACAGACTCACTGTGAGTGAGACCAAGTACATATTACAAATTTGACCCAGTAGTTTTACATCAGTTAAAGAGGCAGAAATGCTCTTTAGATTCAACAAAACTGAAGTTGTTCATGATTTCCAAACTGTTTGGTTTGTTAAAAACATCTAAAATGGAAACATGAGGCAGAAATTTATATTGAAAATAAATATTTATATATGTTATTGTGATATGTTATAATAGAAAAAATACTGATATAACATACATGGAATAATTAAATGTTTTATAAATGATTGAATATAACTGCCTTGTGCGTGTAGGTCTACAGCTATTGATCTACCTGTTTGTTTAATGTTTATTTATGAAAATGGATAAAATTATTCTTGAGTATACAGGAACATAACTAAAATTCTGAGGTTTGTTACGAACTAAACTGTTTGAAAATCGGTTTAAAATTAATCAATCTATGGTTATTTAAATGTTACATGAACCGTAGACTGGAATGTTAGGAGTGGGAGAGCTGACCGTAGCAAGATGGCCGCCATGCGGGGACGTCGGTTTCCATTGGCTAACATTGTGCGTAAGACATCTAGCATGTATATATACATCTATGTTATATTATTTTATCACATCAACATATTTGTCTCCTTCACTGAATATGATGTTGGACAGTGATCTTTGTAAAGTGAGGTGAAGGAGGAGTTTGTGTGACAACACAATCACACTGTGTGCAAAAATAAAAACCTGTTCAAACCTGTTCATTGACATTTATTGAGGTATGAAAAGAGGAGTGCTCATCTGGTAGTTTGTTGGTTTGACCAGCAGGTGGAGCTGCTGCATTAATAATAAACTAAGACCCAAACAAACAAACAAGTTCCTGTATTTACTGAACTTTGAATTCAGACTCAGGAGAGGAAGATGTTTGTCAAGAATACTGAACTTAAAAGATGATAAAAAACTGTCAGTAAATGAGAAGAATCTGTGATCTGATGGTTTAGGTTTCAGTGAAAACAGTCAGAGTGAAAGTGAAAGTATGTGAGCTGAAAAACAGACTCCATTTTGAGAAAAGAAGAGAGAGGAGAGGACGAGGAGACAGGGTGAGTGTTTACTCTGTTTTAGTTTTAATGTCAAACTCTTTATCTGTTTTATCTGTTAATGAAAAATGATTTACTGACTAAAACACTTAAAAACTGTAAAACAAAGAAACCTGAGCAGACAAAGAGCTGGATCAGTTCTTCATACAGGAAACTGTGTACGTGCAGTTCTTCCTCCTCTTTGTTCAGACTTGTCTTTGTGGTAAAAACTAAAATCAGAATCTTTTTAGCCTCTCATTTCAACTTTAATCCAGTCTCCTTAAGTTTTTTTTCTGAGAGTTCAGGGACCTCACAGCTGATTTTGTTTGGACCATGAATCAGACAAGGATCAGAGAGAGGCCCTGCAGGGTGGGGAGACATCAGAAGGTCTTGATATTAAACCCATAGACATATATAAGAAAGGTTTATATACATATATCTATGATTAAACCTGTAAAACTCTTAAAGAGGGGGATGAAGCTGTTTTCAGACTCTCTACTTCCTTTCTGATTCCTCTTTTATTTTGAAACTCTCTCTTCCTGTTTGTGTTTCACCTGTTTGTCTACTTTGTCCTCAGGTTGTATCTCGGTTTCATCTTCCATAAATTTACACAACAGAAGATGGAGAAGATGGTGTCGAGGAAGAGGAGGGCAGAGCAAAAGTCTGATATGTCTGACTGTCTGTCTATGAAGAGTGACGGGTCTAAAGATAATCCTCCTTTTGGCTTCCGTAAAAAACCAAGACCATCAGAGGAGGACAGAGAAGAGTCTGTTATCTCCGACTGTCTGTCTATGAAGAGTGACCGGTCTAAAGATCCTCCTCTAAAATTTAGTAAAGAACCAGGACCCTCAGATTCACAGTAAGAGAAACACTTTTCACCCTCCAAACTCTCAAACAACAACAGCTGATGTTGAACCTCCAACCTGGATAAAGGTCTGGTAAAGAAAAAGTCACTGAGCTCAGATTTACTTATTATTCCTGATGTTAATAAAAATGAAGGTGGTATAAAACAGCATTAGAAAAGGATCCTGACCTCTTGTATTTTCTGATTTGGTTCCTGTGTTTGGGACGTTTTGAGCCTGTTAGTCTTTGGACTGTGGTGTATAGACCCCAGAAAACAGTCTGTGGGTCAGAAAATACCAGAAGACCAAAGAAGAAATAAATCCTGAGAAATAAAAACTCATTCAGAGCATCTGTCTGTTATTAGACCTTTAGATCTGATTGTTAAAAAATGTTTGAAACTGTCAGAGAAAATCTCTCGACCTTCAAAAATCACAGTTGAGTTTTTTCTCCTGTCTCCACACTTTGAGGCAGCAGCAGCTGAATATTTTACTGTTTTATGTTAGAGAAAAGAGAAACTCTGGTTTAATAAATGTTTCTTATTCTGAATCTTTCAAACATGAAATGATAAAGAAAATAAATGTTCTTTATTTCCACAGAGAGACACAGAGATGTGACTCTGTGGAGAAGAAGCTGTTCAGTTATCGCCGCTCTGATCAAAGTAAGTCTGAACATCTGTCCTTTAAACCTTAAATTACACAATTTCCACCTGGATTATTTTGATTATTTTAGCCATAAAATTGTATGAAAATGTCCTTTGAGTGTTTTTACCTATTTTTCCAGAACACTTTGAACGTTCAATATCTGTCTGTCATTTATAATTTACTGCCTGTTAAAAGAGTGCTTTAATATTTTAAGATAAAGAAAAACAAAAACAAAATAAACTTTTTTTTTTAGTTTTAATGAGAAAAAAACTGAACTACACGACACTAAAAAAGTCACCAAATTATACAAATACACCGTATTTAGGAGTCACAGGTAAACAAAGTACAAACTGACTGCCTTATCATGGTTTTCTAATGAAGTCACTACAGGTTATAAGTGTTGATATAAAATAACGTAAATAAATGAAAACGACACAGAGAGCTTCATTCATCCAGAAACCAACACAGAAAATCAGCCGCTCAGTCTTTACCTTTCTCTGTCTGAAGTTGCTCTGAAAACTTCTCCATCGGTCCTAAAATCTTCTGTAAACCTCAGTGGAGGTTTTCTCACTCAGGATGTTTGTATTTCAGTCATTTTCCTTTGAAATAATCACTTTTTTGTCGCTTTTCTCTCTTTTTGCTCCGTTTCTCCGCTCTGTTGTGTGTCTGTCTGCTGCTTTCTTTGACGGAGAGACAGATTTTCTCTCTAAACAGCAGGAGTGAAATTACCGTAATAACTGAATATTTGCTGTGTGGTGAAACTTCTCAGCTTCCAGAAACCGTTGGAGTTTTTCTGACAGCACAAACTTTCCCACAGTTACGGTAATTTAAAGAGCGCCGGTGTAAAGGTGTCGGCGCCGACAGACTGTGAGGAAAAGTCTGTGTGGATGAAAACTCAGCTGACTGATTTTCACAAAGACGTTTCAGTTTGAGAAGTTTGGTTCATTTTATTTTTCTTCTCTTTCAGAAGATGGTGGTCTGCAGGAGGTTTTAGATGAACATAAGATCAGTCTGAAGAGGATATGTGAACGTGTGAATGAAGGAAGTGTTGAAACAGGAAGTAGTCAAACCCTCCTCAACAGGATCTTCACTGAGCTCTACATCACAGAGGGACTGAGTGAAGAGGTGAACACCCAACATGAGGTGAGACAGCTGGAGACAGCTTCAAAGATGAAGACCCTCCATGACACGCCCATCAGGTGTCATGAGATCTTTAAAACCTTACCTGACCAACAGAAGAAGGTCATCAGAGTGGTTCTGACCAACGGCGTGGCTGGTGTTGGAAAAACCTTCTCAGTGCAGAAGTTCACTCTGGACTGGGCAGAGGGTTTGGAGAACCAAGACCTCCATCTGGTGGTCCTGCTTTCATTCAGGGAGCTGAACCTGGTCAGAAAGAAGCGCTTCAGTCTTCTGAGTCTGCTCCATGTTTTCCATCCAACACTAGAGAAGGTCACAGCAGAGACGCTGGCTGTCTGTAAACTTCTGTTCATCTTTGACGGTCTGGATGAAAGCAGACTGTCTCTGGATTTCACAGACTCTGAGGTCCTGTCTGACGTCACACAGAAGTCTTCACTCAACGTTCTGATAACAAACCTCATCAAGGGGAACCTGCTCCCCTCAGCTCTCATCTGGATAACTTCTCGACCTGCAGCAGCCAATCAGATCCCTCCTTCACGTGTGGACAGGGTAACAGAAGTACGAGGCTTCACTGACGACCAGAAGGACGAGTACTTCAGGAAGAGGTTCAGAGATGAGGAACTGTCCAGAAGAATCATCTCACACATCAAGTCCTCCAAGAGCCTCCACATCATGTGTCACATCCCGGTCTTCTGCTGGATCACTGCGACAGTTCTGGAGGACATGATGAGCAGAGAGCAGAGAGGAGAGCTGCCCAAGACCCTGACTGACATGTACTCACACTTCCTGCTGGTCCAGACTCAGAGGAAGAAGCAGAAGTATGGAGGAGGACATGAGACAAGTCCTCAGGAGCTGACTGAGGCTGACAGTGAAGTCCTCCTGAAGCTGGGGAGGCTGGCCTTTGAACATCTGGAGAAAGGAGACATCATGTTCTACCAAGAAGACCTGGAGCGGTGTGGTCTGGATGTCTCAGAGGCCTCGGTGTTCTCAGGAGTTTGTACAGAGATCTTCAGAAGAGAGAGTGTGATCTTCCAGAAAACTGTTTACTGTTTCGTTCATCTGAGCGTTCAGGAGTTTCTGTCTGCAGTCTACGTGATCCACAGTTTCACAAAGAAGAGGAACACAGAAGCTCTGAAGACTTTCCTAAGAGGCAACAAAAACCTGGATAACTGTTTCTCTTCTCTGGATGTCTTCCTGAAGAGTGTCATGATGAAATCCCTTCTTAGTAAAAACGGTCACCTGGACCTGTTTGTTCGCTTCCTTCATGGACTCTCTCTGGAGTCAAACCAGAGACTCTTAGGAGGTCTGCTGGGTCACACAGACAACAGTCCAGGAATGATCCAAAGAGTCATGAAGAACCTGAAGGAGATGAACAGTGAAGATATCTCTCCTGACAGAAGCATCAACATCTTCCACTGTCTGATGGAGATGAACGATCTGTCAGTTCATCAGGAGATCCAAGAGTTCCTGAAGTCAGAGAACAGATCAGAGAAGGAACTCTCAGTGATCCACTGCTCTGCTCTGGCCTACATGCTGCAGATGTCAGAGGAGGTTCTGGAGGAGTTGAACTTATATAGTTATAACACATCAAACCAGGGACGACTGAGACTGATCCCAGCTGTGAGGAACTGCAGAAAGGCTGAGTAAGTCCAGGTTTTATTCTCAGAATAGTGTAAATGATCCCTGTAGTTCTTCTAATGTCCACGTTACTGATGATGTTCTTCTTCAAATAGAAATCCACTCAAATATCAGGGAGGGGGTTTCTTTAGCAAAAACATGATCCTGGTGTCTAAAGTCCTGTTAGCCCAGGATGAGGTCTACCTGTGGACCCCTGAGAACTTGTCCTGATTGTGGAGGACCTCTTTGTTTTGAATCGTGTCTGTAATGAATAAAGTGGAACTTTGAGGACAAATCAGCGACCATATCTGAGGACACACAGAGGTCTTCTGATGATGGTATCAGTCCAGATCAACATCTCAGTCAGTTGTGGTGAACTTGAGTTTGAAGAAGGTGTCTGCAGCTTCTTCCTGCTGGTTTTCAGGTTGGAAATGATGAATCTGTTGTAAATGAGGGTGTTGACAGCATTGATGGTGAAAATAGAACTGGATCATTTTCTCCACAGTGGCAGAACTGTCTCTGTACCATCATGTTCATCATTCAATATTCATCATCAATACAACCATGAAAACTAACATCATTTTCCACCACTCACTGGAGATGATCTGCTGGACTAGAACATATGAATGATGAGAACACAGGAGGTATTTGGACAGCAGCTCCTTGAGTCTGAAAACAGTGGTGGAGATAGGATGTTAATGTCTCTCTCTCTCTCTCTCTCTCTCTCTCTCTCTCTCTCTCTGTCTCTCTCTCTCTCTGACACTAGTCTGCCTCATAACACCTCATAGCATGTGGAAACAGCCGTGCTCTTCCACTGTATATATGGACACCATGTCTCTAAGCAGAAGCAGTGTGACTGCATCATCATCTTCATCATCATCAGTTTTCCATGGTGTCCCTTTGTTGTCATGGTGATGCAGAGTGAAGATGATTCCTCTAATGTTGAGGTGTTGGTGGGCTGTAACTCGGCTGCACGCCTCTGTTTCAGATGTTGATGTAAATTGGTCAGACTGCTGCCTTCTGCTGAAACAGCCTTTAAACAAACACTGCAGCAGACTGGGGTTTGATCCAGGTCTGAGTCTGAGAGACTGGACCAGGTCTAAAGGACTAACAAACCGGACTGTTTTAGGGAGCAGAAAAGTCTGTTTTTGACCATAACTAGTGTGGCTGTGATTAGGGTGAATTAATGTAATTAATGCAGGTAGAGAGAGAGAGCGAGAGAGAGGGAGAGAGAGAGAGCGAGAGAAGGGGGGGGAGGGGTCTTCAACTCTTCAAATGTTCAGAGTCAAACCAGCTCTAAAGGTCCTTACACACCGGGCGCGAATTCGCCAGGCGAATTATTCGCCTTTTTTTAAAACAGCTTAAAGTCAATGCAAGCTTCCACACCGGCGGCGATTTTTCCGCGGGGCGAAAAGCCGCTTTTATTTTTTCACTCTTGTGTCGAATTTTTCGGATATTCGCAGGTGAATATCTGGACCTGCTAGACCTCTGGCCAATCAAAAGTCATGTTGTTGATGACGTCACAGACCCATACGGCTGGAGGAGAGGGAGAAGTTTGAGATTATGAAAACGCAGACAAAGACAGCTGAGGTGCATCCAAAACTCTTTCTAATTACTAATGAAGTAGTTTTCTCACAAGATGACACTCTCTTGTCTTCCTTAGAAGACAGATGTCATGCACACTTCACAGGGTGACCGCCTCATCATGCCTGATTCTCCCTCTCAGCTGTTTGACATACCGATGATCTGCAGCTACAGGGCCAACAGAATGACCAGACAACTTGAAGGATCACTGCTCAGCCCTCGCCTCTCCTGGCTGCTGCGGCGTCTCTCACAGCTTTTCCTCCTCTTTCGCCCTCACTCATAATGCTAGACATGTCAATCAGCAGCCATTCACACGACACACACCATCACTGGCACCAAGAGCAACGATGGGAGAGAGGCTGGTCATTGCGGTACAGAACCACCCCACATCTCCTCTCCTCCGTGCCGCAAAGCGACTTTATTAATTCGCTTTGCAAAAAATATACGCATATTCGCTTCGCGGCCGGTGTGTATAGGCGAAAGCGATTTTTCGGACCGGCGAATATTCGCAATTTTCGTCTTGCTTTTTCGCTTCGCTCCGCAAATTCGCCGGTGTGTAAGGACCTTAAGGACCTTAAGGACCTTAAGGACCTTAACCCCTTAAAAAACAATTTTATCTGAACCAATCAGAGAAAAAGGAGCTGCTGCTGTGATTTAGTGAGTCGTCCTCTGATTGGTCAACAGTCAGTGTCTATGGACAGACTTACATTACAGCAGGATGTCAACATTAAACACTGAGAGGAGCACTGATCCTCCAAGAGGTACTTTGGATACTAACCAATCACATACCAGGACCAAAAACCTGGTTCTCAGTCCCCTTCTCCAACCAGAACTCAAGAACTCACTCAGTCATAATGATCCAGCTGCACTAACATGAAGACAACACTGTTAGAGAACAGAAGGACTAAAATAAGTCATGGAGTCATTTGTCTTGAACGTCTGAACAGTTTTTTTTTCTTCTAAACTTTGACTTCCTGTCTTCTCTCATGGCTGTGGTCCTGATATTAGTATCTGTCTGGTTAAAAACAGGCCGTCTGTCAAACCAAAGATCATGTTTGTTTTTGGTGAAGAGAAACATCAAATTACCCTTTAATGAAATATTGTTGATATTTATGTTGTTACAGACTGTGGGACTGTGGACTCTCAGAGACTCACTGTGAAGTTGTGGCCTCAGCTCTGAAGTCCAACCCCTCCCATCTGAGATATCTGGACCTGAGTGAAAACAAACTGCAGGATTCAGGAGTGAGGCTTCTCTCTGCAGGACTGGAGAGTCCAAACTGCAGACTGGAGACTCTGAAGTGAGACACCATTTCCTTCTGATCTAACAATAAGATGTGACAGCTGCTGCCTTAGATTTTTCTCTGTGGTTTTTCCATCAACTTTGGTCGAGCAGTTTGAATTTGTCGTTGTAAAACTTCAACACAGGAAGAAAAATCCAACATTTCAGAGTTGACTTTGAGGAGAACGATGGATGTAGAAAGGAAGCAGGAGAAAATCAGTCCCACAAATATTACACATGCTTGTAGAGGGCAGGAGCAGCACAGACTAAAGGCTGATACTGAACTGATCCACAGTTAATGTGATCACTAATGAATGAATGAAGTGTCAGAGAAATGATGAGCTGCAGATTGAAACCTGAAGAACAAAGTTAATCCAACTCTGGAGATTTCATTTGGAAACTCTTGAAAACTTGAATTTCTTCTTTTCTCAGTCGTGTTCAAATGTAAAAACCAGATCCAGATTTTTCTGCAGTTTTCACTTCAGTTTGTTGAACATGAACATCATCTTGTCCAGTTGGTCCATAAAAACCTCTCTGATCAATGATCTGTTGGTTTATTTAAGAGTAGTTTGGCAGTTGTTGACAGCAGACGGACAGACCCCTGAATAAACTCCTGACTATTTTCATCTTCATGAAGAATTCAGGACAAAAAAAAACCTTTGAGATTTCTCACAGGAGTTTCTCAGGATCTCACTAAAATTTTCTGGTTCTTTAAAAATTTCTACACTGAAAAATTTCTCAAGATCTTCAAAAAGTTTAGAGAGGATTTTACAAAGTTCCTCAAGATCAACTCTGAAAAAGTTCTTCCATGTCCTTCAGGGGCTCAAGAACATTGAATCATTAAAGTTTCTTAAGTGGTTTAATGATTTTGTTCTTTTTTCAGACTGTGGGGCTGCAGTTTGTCAGAGATCAGCTGTTCTTCTCTGGTCTCAGCTCTGAAGTCCAACCCCTCCCATCTGAGATATCTGGACCTGGGTTACAACAGTCTGCAGAATTCAGGAGTGAAGCTTCTGTGTGACTTTCTGCAGAGTCCAAACTGTAAACTGGAGACACTAGAGTGAGACTTTTTTCCTCCATTCAAACATGATCATGATTTGTTTGTGATGACGACACTAAACTGCTGACTCAGGACTGAAATACTGACCCAGACTGAACACCTTCAGTCCAGAGTAGATTTTCTGCATCAGTGGATTATTTGATTGACTCCAGTTCGATCACTGCTGAGCTCCAGTGAATTAAAACCTGAACCCAAGAAGAAAACTCTTTGTAGAGTTCACAGTGAGAAGCTCATTCAGACAGAAAACAGAAGCAGGGGGAGATTTGTCAGACAAGAACCATTCAAACTTTTGTTCAGGACAAGATCAGGGAATAGAAAAAACTCAGTTTAGTTTCTGACACTGATGAAAGTCCAGCTCTGTTACTTTGAATTTTGTTTTTAAATCTTTGTGTGAAAATCTGAATTTTCTGGTTTATCTGCACTTTTCTGAAGCCTTGCTGTGTTTAGACTGAAATATGTGAACTTTGTGACGTGATATTGTTGGTTCAACGAAGTGCAAATATTCTGAACATCCTTTATTTCCCATCCGTCCTGAAGTCGCTGACATTTTCTGAAAATATTGATCTGCATCTACAATCAGTAAAAAAGTCTCTGAGTTTTTTTATTTCACTATTTAATGTGTTTTTGAATTCACTGTTTCAAACTGACTTCCTGTTTGGTTCAGCTCTTTGGAGCGTCACTTTTCTGTGATTCAGACTTTCCAAACCTTTCCCCTGAACTCTACAGATTTAAGACATCAGGTTTCAAACTGGATCATTTTTCTCTAAAATCTCATTATTTCCTCTTTATTTAGGTTGTATAACAGCAGTTTGACAAAGATCAGCTGTTCTTCTCTGGCCTCAGCTCTGACGTCCAACCCCTCCCATCTGAAATCTCTGTGGCTGTTTGGAAACAATCTGCAGGATTCAGACATGAAGCCGCTGCGTGATCTTCAGAAGAGTCCAGACTACAGACTGGAGGATCTTGGGTCAGTATAGAGTTGGAGTTAGTCTGTGCTGATCTCTCCTGTTCCTCTCCACACAGTATCACAGCAGATATTCAGTATTTCCTGCTGACTCTTCGACCCTCTCAGAGGATTATCTCTTTAGTGAAGCTGTGAGAACAGAAATCATCAAACCAGGAGTGTAAGAGTGTCAGTCATGAAAAAAGTGTCTCCTCGTCTCTATATTTCAGATCAAATGTAGAAATGAGACATAATGAAACAGAAATGTTCAGTTTCTGCTCTGAAGTCCAGTTTATAGTTCTCTGTATTCAACACAGACTTTATTTCTCTGCTAACTTGTTGATTTTGAGCTCTAAGTCTGAAAACAGACAGCTGTTCTTTATACTTGTTATTTTCACAGCAGGTTTGTTCGATCAGCTTTAACACATTTGACAGGAATGATTTCTTTATTTTGATGATGTTGGTTTATTAGTGAGGAAACCTGCTGCTTTACACCATCACTTCTGCTCTGAGCAGGACTGAGATCTGCTGGTCTGTAAACTGGATGTTCTTCAGTCCAGCTGATGAAGTGAGTCTCAGAGTGGAAACACTGATCGTCTGTTTTTCTCTCCTCAGATGGAGTAACTTCTGTCAGAGTGATCAAGAAGAGGATCATGTGTTTCCTGACGATCAGAGAGGTGGAGGCAGCAGCAGTGAGGGTGAGGTGAGTCTCTGACTGAGAGACTGACTGACCAATCACAGTGGGCGGAGAGGACTCTGGGAGCTGCACTTTGACCTGCTCTGAGATCAGCTCAGGACCTGGACTCTGGATATTTGATCTTTTCCCTCATATTCTGGGATCAAACAGTCTGAACAGGTTTGTTTTGTTGATGGAAACATGATCATAAATTTACACTTTGATTGGATTACTTTGTTTTTACCATGATGCAGCGCCACCCAGTGGAAATATAAAGAGGTGGAGTTGATTTATTCCCCCATATTTCTGCAGCAGGAGTTGATACCATGTGTGAGAGTAGATCAGTCAGAAGTTCAGATTAAACCCAAAGGTTTTTTCTTTCCTTTGCACCGTTAGAGACCGAATATAAACTGAAGGGAGAGGAAGAGAAGTGAGGAGAGATGGAGGTGAAGGGAGGAGGAGGAGGAGGACAGGGTTTGGGGTTTTAACAAAAATCTGAAGCTTTATTCTTTCACTTGATTATTTTTAATCCTTCCTTTCTTCTTCAGTTTCTGAGATTATTGTAAACATTGACTGGAGGTAAATTGACCTTATTTTATATTATTAGACATTATTTTCTTTTTCTTTACATGTTTTTGTTCTCATATCATCTTTGTGCTCATCAATAATCGATTCCCTCCAGTTTGGATGAACAAACACAATTATTAAACCATAAATGAGACCTGAGAGTAAAATGTGTGAAATATAATCAGTCAAAGGAAAGATTCTTGAACAATAAAAAACATTATTTTTACTTTATGATGATGGAGAAGTTTTCCTCTGACAGACAAAAATAACCGTATTGACCGGAGTCTGGAAAAAGTGAGATCAGCATCTATTCAGGGTGAAGTCATTAACGTGGTCGATGCTGTTTTATAAACTCAGTGTTGTTGATTACAATCTCAGCTTCATAAATTGATGCTACAGTGGAGTGACTTCCTGTAAAATCCACTGTCTTTGTGAGACCGTCAGCTTTCAGGAGATCAGTTTGTGTTTCTGTGACACTCCAAAGCTTTTCTATCCCACAGAGAAGGTCGGTGTGTTTTCAGAGACCTTCCTGATCCCATCCCTCCAAAATGAAAATAATCTGATGGTTTATGGATTAATTTCAGTAACAAAGTGTCATTTCTGTTGTTAGCCAATCAGAGGCTGTATCTGCCATCAGCTGACCTGTAAAGGTCCAATTAAAAGTCAGGACAGCTCATGTCACAGTCTGCTCACACTACAGAATTCTTTGTTCACTATTGTGAACAGATTTGTTCTGATCATCTTATCTAGTATCAATAGATCTATGCTCTGTCTGCGTAACAGTATATTTGTTCTTCATTTACACCAGATCATTTTTGATTTCATTTCACTGTAACAATGTCATTTAAAGATAATAAAAACTTTATTTGAACCAAAACATGTTAAAAACATCAACTCAGCTTGTTTCAGTCACTGTGTCCAATTGATTTTTCATCATTTATCATTCAAACAAAAACTAGATTTGGTCTTTAAAAAACCCTCAAAGTGAGTCTGAAAAGTGCTGCACCCTGATGATAAAACCTTCCTCCACTTATATATATATACATATATACGGTATATGTGTGTGTGTGTGTGTGTATAAAGATAGAGATCTCACAGAACAGATATACAGAAAGGCAACATGAGAAAGATATTTATATTGAAAATGAATACATATATGTTGATGCTATATGTTATTATAGTTATGCCTATGATAGAAATATTACTGATATAACATACATGTAATGATTAAATGTTTTATATATAAATGAATTAATATAACTGCCTTGTGTGTGTAGGTCTATAGCTATTGTTCTACCTATCTGTTTAATGTTTATTAATGTATTTAATGTATATTTATTTACCAAACTGTTTAAAAATCGGTTTAAAATCAATCAATCTATGGATATTTAAATGTTACATGGATATGTATGGATATGTAAATGTTAGACTGGAACGTTAGGAGTGGGTGAGCTGTCCGTAGCAAGATGGCCGCCATGTGCGTAGGTGATTCTCCATTGGCTAACAGCGTGTGTAAGACATCTAGGGTTTATACATATATCTATGACCGGAACTGGAAATACGCAGTCCTTTTAGCGCCCCTGTTATGTTCCCGCGAGATTTCGGTGTAGCACGGTCCAAACTGAGGTCCACTCTCCCTCCTGACTCCAATATTCGGGTAACTTTAGTATCTTTGAGGTTTTTCTGAGTTTCCTGGTCGGTTTAAACTTGATTTTCCTCCGTTAAGACTCAGACGGAGACCCTCGGCTCGTCTCTCGGACCTTCAGCCGCCCTCAGCTGTCCTGTTTACGGAGAATTAGCCCGGCAGAGATTAGCTTTGGGGCTGATTTAGGTCACAGCAGGTCCGGGTTCTCAGACTAGTTTTCGGGTTCTGGACCATGGTTTTACTAAAGAACCTCCGACCACCCACCGAGGGGGTCCGACACGAACAAGCCGAGACCACAGCGGTGCTGGGCGGACAGAAGCTGGGCTGCGGGACGCTGTACGTGGCGGAGACGTAAGTGACGCACATGGGAGGTTATTTTTCTGATCAGATTATCGATCAAAGGAAAAATTGGTCCGTTGGAGAAAAGTTCCGTTTGAAAACTGAAATTAAAGATTTTCATTTAAAATAATACAGAAAATAAATCCAACAGAGAAAACCCGACAGAGATTTAACTTGCAGACTGAGTTTTCTGGTGTTTTCTGAGGTTTTATGGAGGAAACAAACTGCCATCTGTTTAATTACTGCATGTGTAATAAAATATTCTGGAGGAAAAAATCACATTTATAGGAAAACAGGACAATTAAACCACCGAAAAGACAAAGATATCTTTATTTGTTTTCAAGAGAAACAGAAAGATTTTATTTTTTTGGACAGTTACTTTTTTTTTTCTTGGGAAATTTCACATAAACAAGAAAAAATGGCCTGACTCTGACCCAAACAGTGACCACTTTAAAAATGAACTGAACTGTTATTATTGGACTGAAGAGGAAGACGGCTCTGAAAACAGACTCTGTTTACCACAAATATTATCTTTGATCGACGACTTCTTTTTTCTCTTACTTCTTACCTGGTTTTTATTTTCTTCCAGTTTTTTTGTTTGTTTGTCTTGTTGATGTTTTCGTTAGTTTGATTGTTTTCTTAATTCCCTGTAAAACGTCAGTAGTATATTGTAGAATGTAATAATCACATAAAAAAAAGAAACAAATAAAAATAAAAAAATAATAAAGGGAGTGCAGGACTGAACCTTCATTCAGGACTCAAGTTAATAATAATAAGAGTAAATTAAATTAAAGATATTCTCAGACTAATATCACAGACAAACCTGGATTTAATGATCTTTAGTCTGTTTTCAATGTTTCTCACTGTTGTCTTCTGTAATCATAAAAACTAATCCCTGATTTTCAGTCATTTACGTCCAATCATACACATGTATTTACTGTTATTTTTGTTAATTGATTTTTGAGTTACTGATACCGCAACATCTCTGATTGTAAAATCGGAGTTTGATGCTCCTGTCTACGGTGGCCCTGAAGGTCTGTGGCACAAATTTTTCAGGAAGGGGAAAAAAAATTAAGACGCTAAAAATATTTAATAAATCATCAAATTAACACCATGTTAAAACATTAAAACTAGAAATGTATGGAAACGTCTACTGCCATCCTTAAAGGGATATTCTGTCATTAAATTAATTTAGGGTCAAACCCACAGTAACACCGAGTTAGACCCCCCCTCCAGAGATGAATGTTGTCGACCGCTTGCTTCTCTAGTTATACCAACTTTAGTAACGACCACAGGATAGAAATACAGAGAGCCACGCCCCCAACCAAAACGCCACTCTATAGCCACAAATAATGCTCAGAACAGCACCTAACTTCATCAACAGGACATATAGGGTCACAGACATAGTACTAGACACCAAACCAAACCTCAGGTCAGTCCATTACAGACTACAGCGGGGTGCCGCAGTTCAAGGAAGAATATTTATGATCATTTCTTCATGGAAATACAATCAGACCGAGACGCTGAGACAGAAGAACTACCGCGTCTGTAAAATGATTAATATGATGATTATTACTTCAAGGAAATGATGAAGAAATGATCATAAATGTTCTTCCTTGAGCTGCGGCACCCCGTTGTAGTCCGTAATGGACTGGTCTGAGGTCTCTCTACAAACAAGCGGCTGCTGGAAGAGAGTAGGTGAGTTTAAAAATAAAGATATATGGAAACATCTTTTGCCACCCTGAAGTATCTGTGCTGTTTGTAACGGTCATAGTACATGCATACTATTTTAGTGTTTTGTGTTGTTGTATATAGTGCACAAACTTGTATATTATCTCTTTATTTTGACTTATTTTATCTCTTATTTATCTCCTCTTTCTACTTTATTTTCACTGGAGTTACTGTGACAAAAAGCAGTTTTCCCCTCCTGAGGATTATTCAAGTATTTCTGATCCTGTTGACCTTCAGAGCCACCGTACCTCTGTTTCCCTTTCCCTCCCGCTCTGGTCTGTTTCAGTTAATAACTTTATTATTATTATTATTCACACTTGGTTGTGTTGTTGTTGTTGTTGTTGGTTTTCATCTCGATGAAAATCCCAGTTTGTACTCTGAGACTGAAGTCACTCTCCTCTGACTTGATGACTTTTTCTTCGTGTTTGTCTTCTTCAGGCGTCTTTCATGGTTCGACGGCGCGGGTCTGGGTTTCTGTCTGGAGTATCCCACCATTGGTTTGCACGCCATTTCCAGAGACGTGAGTGCGTACCCACAGGAGCACCTGTACGTCATGGTCAACGGCAAAGTCGGGGGTAAGGAGGACGCTGCCGAGTCGGACAGTTTTCTGATTTATTATTGGCCAATCAAGAAGAAGGGCTGAAAATCTGACCGTTTTTTTTTTTACTCACATTTCTAACGGCGTGTTTCGTTCTCTCAGATGACAATGAGGCTGAAATGGCCGAGAAAGCAGCTGATGATGATGATGATGAAGATGAAGAGGACGAGAGCAGCAGCAGCAGCGGTGGAGGAGATGATGATGATGATGATGAAGGAGCGATCACAGAGATCAGATTCGTTCCCAGTGACAAAGCAGCATGTGAGTCTCTCTGACAGTCAGACCTGAACCAGGATTTAAAGGCTTCAAGACGAAAACCTCCAGGATCCGCTTTGAGGTCGTTGTTCAGTATTTTCTCCGTAGAGCAGCGTTACGCTCCAAATACGCTGATCCTGGAGGTTTTTAGTCTTCACTCTTACTGAGCAGGTCTTCAGAAAACCAGGACCAGTCAGACCCAGTTAGAAAAACCAGATTTAAAGGTTAAAAAAAAAGGTTTAAAGAGTCGATGAGATCCAGCAGACTGTAGAGAGGACGTCTCTGAGGGAGGAAGGATCTGCAGTGAAACAGGAGCGTCTTCACAGCCTGAAGACCTGCATGAACACACACACACACACACACACACACACACACACACACAGCCGTGTCCTCCGACTCTCACACACACTCTGTGTCTTCATACAGTGGAGTCCATGTTCTCCGCCATGTGCGAGTGTCAGGCGCTGCATCCCGACCCCGAGGACGCCGACTCAGACGACGACTTTGAAGGAGAAGAGTACGACGTGGAGGAGGCTGGTGAGGACAACAGACACACACACAGACACACACTTTTCACACAGTTTAGCGCTGAGGGCTGCGATGATGTGATTTTCTCGTGATTTGATTCTTTTACATTTTTTTTGGATGCCGATTTGATTTAAACTTCAATTCTACGATATCGTCAATTTTCTCGATCTTTAGTCTGTATTTTTAACATGTAAGTCCGTTTATAAGATTTATTCTCACATTTAAGAAAAATCGATTTAAAAATTATAAAACAAAAATTGCGATACTTCTGTGAATCGATTTTTTTCTCCCACCCTATTACAGTGTTGGAAAAAAGTTTGGAATATTTTCTTCAGTGTTTCGTGTAACGTGAATGATCCTCCAACAAACGTGGCTGAACTGACTCAGGCTGTGATCCAATGCTGTCGAGAAATCCCGGTTGAAACTCTTACCAACCTAGTGACCAGCATGCCCAGACGTGTACGCGCATTGTACAACGCTAGAGGCGGTCACACAAAGTACTGACTGTGTTGTTGTTATCGTCTTGTTATGTTTGATGTTGCTTTCAAAGATGGTCCACGTATTTTGTGGCAATTTAAAATTACAGCCGTTTATTTATTAAATACCGACTCATGATTTTATGCGTTATTTCTATGGCTTTTTGTGAATCATGAGGTGTCCGCCCTACAATTTTTTGAGAAACAAAATAGTTTGATGTGGATTTCAAAAAACATATTACAGAGACCAGGGAACATTAAAAAGTCTTTGAATAATTCTCCAGAAAGCAGCAGACCGCGTTAAACACGAGGCTGGGGTTGAATTGACAAATATTCCAAACTTTTTTCCAACACTGTAGCTCATAAGAAGAACCATCATGGGGGAAAAATCGATCAGATACGAGATCAGAACTTTTCTTTTCTTTGTGAAAACACAGTCAGGATGTTTTAATTAAGATGATTTTCATGTGAGAGAGTCGGTCCGCCTCGTCAGACGTGAAGATGAAGAGATCAGGGAAAAGCCGCTCAGTCACAGACCTGTGAGAGACAAACGGAGACGGTCTGAATCTCTCTGTGAACGAACATGGATCAGCTGACGACAAACGTTTGGTTCTCACCTGTCCTCTCTCCGTTTCTCTCTCTCTGTCTCTCTCTCTCTCTGTCTCTCTCTCTCTCTCTCTGTCTCTCTCTCTCTCTGTCTCTCTCTCTCTCTCTCCCCCTCTCCCCTTCTCTCTCTCTCTCTCTCTCTCCCTCTCTCTCTGTCTCTCTCTCTCTCTCTCTCTCTCTCTCTCTCTCTCTCCCTCTCTCTCCCTCTCTCTCTCTCTCTCTCTCTCTCTCTCTCTCTGTCTCTCTCTCTCTCTCTCTCTCTGTCTCTCTCTCTCTCTCTTTCTTTCTCTCTCTCTCTCTCTCTCTCTCTCTCTCTCTCTCTCTCTCTCTCTCTCTCTCTCTCTCTCTCTCTCTCTCTCTCTCTCTCTCTCTCTCTCTCTCTCTCTCTCTCTCTCTCTCTCTCTCTCTCTCTCTCTCTCTCTCTCTCTCTCTCTCTCTCTCTCTCTCTCTCTCTCTCTCTCTGTCTCTCTCTCTCTCTCTCTGTCTCTCTCTCTCTCTCTCTCTCTCTCTCTCTCTCTCTCTCTCTCTCTCTCTCTCTCTCTCTCTCTCTCTCTCTCTCTCTCTCTCTCTCTCTCTCTCACTCTCTCTCTCTCTCCTGGTCGTCTGGATTTCCCGTCGGATCGCAGAAGCAGGTGAGTTTCAACACTCGTCCACATGAACACAATCCAACGTCTGAACTGAATATTTGAGATCTGAGGGTCTGAACTGGTCTGAGGACCCAAAGAGTGGGACTGAAGTCTTGACTGAGTCCCTTATCAGACTTTTGTGGGTCTTTAGTCGAGCAGAGTTAAATCCTTTTCAGCCTAAATTCAGTTAAATACACTAGAAAGACAAGATCTTTAATGTTCAAACTCATAAAGTTAAAGTATTTGGACAGGTTCATGTTTACCTCTGTGTTCCATCACCTTTTAACAAACTCAGTAAACGTTTGTGAACTGAGGAGACGAACTGTTGGAGTTTAGAAGCTGCTTTTATACCCACTCATGACACCCACCTGTATTAACCTGCTCACCTGTTAACGGTCCAAACAGGTGTTTGAGCGTTCCTCAAGTTTCTCAGGATTTTTTACCACCTTTCCAAACTTCTTTGTCATCAGATTCTAAAGTTACTGATTATTTGCAAAAAAAAAAAAAAAAAGTTAATGAGTTTGAACATTAAATATCTTTGTAGTGAATTCAACTGAATATAGGTTAAAAAGGATTTACAGATCATTATATTCTGTTTTTATTTACGATTATCACGACTTCATTGGAGTTTGGTTTGTATTTCCAGTCTGAAATAATGAAGAGAGCAGATCTTCAGTTTTTCTAGAGTTCTCTAATGTCTGTCGTCGTCGTCGTCGTCGTCTTTGTTTGGCTCTCTCCTCCTCCACCCCTCAGAACACGGACACGCAGACATCCCCACCTTCTACACCTGTGACGAGGGTCTGTCGTCGCTCACTCAGGAGGGTCAGGCCACGCTGGAGAGGCTGGAGGGGATGTTAGCTCAGTCGGTGGCTCAGCAGTACAACATGGCCGGGGTCCGAACAGAGGAGACCAACGCTGAGTTTGAAGGTTTGAGCTGCGGCAGGTTATCCAAGTCAAACTGTTTCCTGTTGTCCTTCAAAATAAAGTGCGTAAAGTGGGCGTGTGCTTGATCTGACAGATGGGATGGAGGTGGACGCAGCAGCCATGGAGGCGGGTCAGTTTGAGGACGCAGACGTGGATCACTGGTAAGAGGAGCTGAAGCGTGAGTGAAATAAAGATTTAAAGGAGTTTGTGTTGAATAACTGATCTATGTTCATATTTCTACAGATTGAAGTCTCCGCTGAAGGATTGAGGAAGACCGCAGCACTTCTTTACAGCTCTTTAACTCTCTGTCACTAAAATCCTCTTTTCTCCTGGATCTAAAATCTCTCCGTCTGTTTTTTCTGGTGTTTGATCGGCGCTCAGACGGTGTTCAGCTCTTCTGCTCTTCCTCCCGTCGCCTCCCTCCCTCCTCTTCCTCCTCTTCTTCTTCTTCGTGTTCAGACTGAGCAGAAGCAGCTTCAGAGCGACCCGAGCTCAAACCTAACACTGAGTTTCTGTTTTGTACCTTAGTACCGTTTAATATCTGCTTTTCCTGCCGATGGGGAGTTCATGTCTTTGTATGAAATTGTCAATAAAGAAATAGTTTTTGTAAAAGATTTCTGCTCCTCCGTTTATCGTCCTGCAGAGAAACTCAGCGTCTCTTTTTTCAGACTTGAGGAACTTTTACCGTTTCTGTCCAAAACTCACAAAAACAAGAGAAACTGTGAGGTGGTTCATCCAGCAGCCGAAGCTCTTTGATACTTTAATCAGGTTTATTTCAAGTTTTCAGTTAAGAGTCGAACTAAATATCAATCAATATCATCAATATTTAGTCTGTTTTGACTCGAAACCACAGACTGAATATTTTATATATTTGTATTTTTATTTATATTTATATATTTTATTTGTATGTTCTATAAAGAGTCGATGATAAAAAACTAAAAACCTTTTTCTTCACACAGAAACAAACGGAGGAGCGTTGGATCACATGACTGACCATTTAATCTCCTTCGACAGTAAATTCACAGTTTCATGTCAGTCCACTTCTACAGACAGTTACAGACAGAAAACAGAAGACTCACTCTGGACTCAGAATCAACAGTTTGATTAAAGTCAATTCTTTACAGATAAACTTCTAGATATTCTCCATATTTACGATCAGTCTCCGTTCTTTATTAGGAATCTTCAGTAAAATAACTTCATTTTTTTTCTACTACAATATAAACTGAATTAATTGTAATGATGTTAAACAGTTTAAATGTCTTAAATTTAATGGAAGTTTGTTTTTATTAGTCTGACGGCGTCGAGAATTAACCCGTTCATGTCCAGAGAGTTTGTGTTTGAGCTCAGAGTGAAATCCGATAAAAAGAGTTTGAAGTTTAGCTGCTGTGATGATCTTTAAAATCACCCAAAGACTCAAGATTGAAGTTTGAAAAATGTGCTCCTTACTTTTGTACTTTTTATAAACTTGTGCTCAGCTGAGGTTTTCAGAAACTACGTCTCCTCCTCCTCCTGTTCTTTAAGTTTGTGAACATCTGATGCTCATGTCGTCTTCTTCACGTCCAGGGGAAGATGGAGTGACGGTGACTTCCTCAGAATCAGAGGGACGACTTTATCAAACAGGAGCACAGAGCTCATCATACCTGAACAGACAGAGAAGATCTGATTTAATTCACTGATTCATTTCGTTTACAAATCTGAACCTGAAGCTCATCTTCACCACCTTTAAGAACAGAAATGCTCTTTTTTTCTGAGATCTGATGTTTATTTTTTATTTTTAATCTCCTTTCAGAGGAAGTTTGTGAGACAAAGAACTTCAGATTAAAGCAGATTATCGGGTCTGTGACTCTGACAGACGAGAGCGCCTCTCCTCAGGAACGCTTCAGTGTCTTACAGGATAAAACAAACAGGAATGTGGGTCAATAAAAAAAGATTTAAAGTTCTGGATTTGACCGGATCCAAAAATAGATTCACCTTCAGCTCCTCAGTACACAGCCCAAGGTTTTTGGCCCAAATGATGAATGAATGATGGAGTCAAAGTTTTCTTTTGGAGGCTCAGCTGATCAGATCTGAAGATTCACACCGACATGTCCTTTAAACCAGACTTTATGACTCCACACTGAGTCAGAAAAACCTTTTAAAGGTTCATGAATCTCAGTTTTAAAGCTGAAATCTCTGCTTTTATCGTCTTTGAAAAACCTGCACATGTTTCCGTCCACATCAGCGGTCCTCCTTACCCAGCAGGGGGCCGAGCCAGTAAACCAGACTGTAGTCCATGAAGGAGTGTCCACTGCAGGGGAACTGTGTGGAGAAGGCCAGCGCGGGGTTAAACACGGCTCCGGTCACACTGCCACCTGGACACACACACATGAACACACAGAGGAGCAGAGGTCAGTCATGACGGGGGTCGCAAAATTCAGTGAATTTTCAAACAGGAATTAATGTGAATAAATCTGACATGTAGAAAACTGAAGGTCGGCCCTCGACAGGAACTTCAATATAGTCGGTGAAAATATCTTGTATCATAATCTTGACTAAAAAAAACAGATTTAATGGAAGACCACTCCTCCATCACATGATTGACAGATGATTTCTTGAACCCTGGAGGCCAAAACACAAGACATCTGAGTCCACCGAGTACAGAGAGTCGAGAGAGTTTGGGGTAAATATAATTGATCTGTAATAGTAATAATATTTAACTTAATTAAGTCAAAATAGGTGCTAAATGTAGTTAAATAGTTAGAGTTTATTCTGGGGGTGGAAGTTTCCTCAGATGTGATTCTGTTTCTTCTTAATCCTGACAGACGGTTTTCTGTAACCAAACAATCATTTAGACATTAATTATTAAATATTTCAAAGACCACTCCAGCTGTTTCACCGACTATATTTCTGTTCATGACATTACATTAGTGTTTTTAAAAGATTTCTATTATTTTATTCTACAGATAAATGTCACGTTCACCATCTGATGTGTGGAAGAATTTCTACAGGTGATCTCAGGTGAGTTTAACACCTTCAAAAACAGCTTCACATGTTGATTGGTGGATTTGTTCACAGCTCTGATCTTTACTTTTGATCGATCAGATTTCCTCTCTGATCACTCAGCTGATGTCTCTCTCTGTCTCTCTCTCCCTTTCTCTCTCTCTCTCTCTCTCTCTCTCTCTCTCTCTCTCTAACCCCATCAGGTGGGTCACAGAGTCCACTTTCAGCCGAACTCCCTGACGGGTCTTCATGAGGACAGAAGGGGGACGGCGGACGGACAGGTGAGTCCCGGACTTACCTGCATAGACCACTGTTGAGATGACTGCAGCCACGGCGTGCACGCGGTATTTCTCCTGCACGGACCTGGTGTGCGTGATGGCGGACTGCACCGCAAAGGCGCACGCGAACTCCACTGCGGCAGCCGTGGGAACGGGCGCGTGAATGGGGCTGATGCACCGGTAACCGAGAAGCTTATGCCTCACGTGCACTCCCGACAAACCCATGCCCCACATCATGGGAACCGCGGCGCGTGCAGCGAACGCCGCAACGAACTGGCACGCGATCCGCCGCAGTGCGCATCCGCCCGAGAGCCTCGCGTGGTACGCGTGCTCGAGCGCTCCGGACGGGTTTCCGATGGCCCCGCAGAAGGTGAGCCCGTGGACCACGGCCGCCAGGTATGTCAAGGTGAGCGCGAGGCTCGGCTCGATCCCGCCCACCTCTGAAAGGAGCTTGAGCTCGTGCGTGCAGCAGCAGAGCTGGAAGGTGGACACGAGCTCCACGGCGTATTCAGAGAGCCCGGTGTCCGCGAGGGCCCTGGTCAACACCCTGCGGGTCACGTCGCTCAGGGCAACGATCCCCGCGAGCACCGACAGAGACACCGCCACGTCCGCGGACATGTTCCCCGCTGTCGGGGCTGCAGCCGCGGGGAGACAGCGCTCTTCACCCCGCAGATGAGCTCTCCTCTCCGGCCTCTGAAGCCTCCGCTCTGCCGGGCCGCTGCTGCTCCTTTATCCCGGAGGATGAGGCTCCGATCAGGAACAAATGAGCTTCAGTCCCGCTGACCCACATGGTGCGGAAGTGATGGAGCTCCTCAGCCTCCTCCTCCTCCTCCTCCTCCTCCTCCCCCTCTTCATTGTTTCTCCCTCTTTTCTCCCCCTGTGTGCCCCTCTTCTTTATTCAGGCCTCTTATCCCCCCCTCCTCTTCAGCCTTTTAATGAGTAAAGTTTAATTTGTAGTCATTATAATAAAACATTAAAAGCACTTTTGTCCTGTGTTGTTGTTTCAGTATTCCCATGCTCCTTTATCAGAGTTTGATTTTGAGCAGAGTTGGAAACTGAACCTCCTCCTCCTTCAGGTCCTTAAACCTTCTGCAGATCTTCTTATCTCCTCTGAAGGATCATGACCTCTTCATCACAAACACTCAGGATCCAAGAAGGTTCAACTCTGAGGACCTGCAGCTCAGACTCCATCAGAGGCGGATTTTTATACTTAAAGGGTTAAATTTTACAAACACAGGAAAACCGAGAAGATCTCTCTCTCTCTCGATTTCAATTTTTCATTTTCAATAAGCTTTATTGGCAAAATTGTTTGAACAGTATTGCCGAAGCATTAAATTATAGCAGTCATAAAAACAACAACAACAACAACAACAATAATAATAATAATAATAATAATAATAATAATAATAATAATAATAATAATAATAATAATATGAAACATAAAATAAATAAACATTGTCAGTATCATGTTTGCAGAAAAGATTCTCTCTCTCTCTCTCTCTCTCTCTCTCTCTCTGTTAATGTTCACTTTTTGTAAATTTACTATTTTATAATTTCTGTGTTTATTTTTATACAGTCTGTGTTGATGGCTGAAGATCCAGTCACAGACATTCTCAGTTTGAAGTGATTCATCTCTCAGATTTTTGCTCCTTCATTGAAACTTCTGTTCATGGAGTTCTTGCAGTTCTACTCACTGACCACTAGAGGCCGCTGTCTCATTGTTCTTCATAAATCTGGATCACTCACTGGTCTGTTGGACAGTTTGAGGTTAAACTGTGTTTTCATATTTTATTATTTCAGTGTTTTAGAGTCTATAACAGAGTTGTGCTGAAGTCCATCAGAACATCATGAGCACATGTGTCTTCAGAGGACTTCAGGAAACTCCAAATCTCAGTTTTCACAATCAGAAATACTTTAAATTACTTTTCGTTACAGTAACTCCAGTGCAAATAAAGTAGAAAGAGGAGATAAATAATAGATAAAATAAAGAGATAATTAACAAGCATGTACACTATATACAACAACACAAAATAGTGAATTAAAAGTTTTGTTGACATGATCAAACAGCTGATATTTGTTGTTGGGTTGGTGGTGTCCTGCAGTCTGTAACACTGACACCATCTGATCATATCAGTAAAGTTAAAACACAGAACTTTGTTTGTTCAGTATGGATGTTGTTGAACTTTTGCATCAGTGTCAGTCCATGTCAATTTGTTAATAATGTAATTTAAACATCAAAATTCAATAAATAATAAATAATCAGAATTAAAAACATATAGAGTATGTTGACCATAATGTTTATCTCAACCTTTGATATATTTTGAAATAAACTGTAAATTTATCAGGGATAGGCTAATGTCAGGGGGTTTCCTCTTTGTCCCTTTAAAGGCAGAGACAGCCCCCCCCCCCCCCCCCCAGGCAGGCGTAAAAATCGATTCACATGAGCATCACAATTTTTTTATTGATTTTTTTTGTTCAAAATTTGGTTTTTTTTCTCCAAATGTAAGAATAAACTGACTTATATTATATTATATTATACTTATAAAACTGACTTATATTTGATGTTTAATTTTTGGGTAAATATGGTTCCTGGAATAGTCAGTAGATAATCATAATCATTCAACTGTTTCATTTGTGTTAAAAATACAGATTAAAAATCCATAATATCGCAGAATCGCAATTTAAATCGAATCGGCATCCAAATAATCGTAGAAGAATCGAATCGGGAGAAAAGCATATCGTCCCAGTCTGGATGCAGTAACCCGGTCAGGGTTGAACTAAAGTTGGAATTTCCGAGTTCTTTTGAGTGTCTGTGAACGCACCACCACTCTCTCTCTTCTCTCGAGCTGAGACCCGCCCCAAATTTGAGCAAGCTACTTAATCAGCCAATAGACGGTGAGTGAGGTCGTAATCGGCCAATCGTGTGTCCGGAGAGGAGTGTGTGGGGCGGGGCGTGTCCGTGCAGCAGGCTTCTCCCTGCTCAGCTAACAATAGCCTGGGATCGGCAAGTTTAGAGTGAAAAAAACCACCGAGGAGGGCAGGAGAGGAGCCGAGAGGAGCCGAGAGGAGCAGAGTTTACCGACTACACCACACCGTGTGTCCCGGGGTCGGAGATTCTCCGTCAACAAACTGGGATTTCCGTTTCCGAGCGTTTTTCTGTGGTGAGTGAATGTTTGGAGTTTATTCCTCATCCTCCATCTGCAGCAGCAGCAGCAGTCTCAGTCTCAGTCAGGCATGGTGCATTGTGAATTAGGAGCTCATTAGCCTGTGAACAGGAAAGGGTTAATGGTTACTGTAGGCTGGGACCACTCTATTATTCCCTCATTCTTCATCTACATCCATGTTTGATCGCGGTTCACACAGACCCCTCAGGCCGGAGAGAGTGAGCTGAAGTCGGCCGCAGTGAGCTGATATCGGTCGGAGGTGGATGGTGGTGCTGATGATTATTTTATTACACCGGTTTCCTCCCAGTTCACCAGCTGGCTCTGCTATCATGGGGGCTGTTAGTGCTGCTGGTGACTTGGTGACAGGATCATAAATGAATGAATGAATGAATGAATGAAATCCTGTTTTCGGTTTCCATCTCGAAAATGTGTCTTTAAGGATGACTGTGACATGATTCATCAGAAACACATTCTCCTTTCAATAATAACACATGTACAGTTTTTAAGCTGTTATTATCTGGTGTCAGAAGTTTTAATTAGACGGTTAATAAAGTTAAAATATCCAGATGAGCAGAAATGATCAGAAATCTGTCCTCTAAACGAGCAGTTTTCCAATCTGCTTTATTTCTACATCAAAAACATTCAAGTTTAACAAAGTTCTGCACAAAAAAATTAAAAGAACAGGCACGACAGAAAACATCAGGAGGAAACAAATAAAAGGAAGGTAAAAAACATTTAAAATGAAATAAAAACACAAAAGAAATAAAAGTGATAAAAGGACAGAGATCAGACAGCTCTCAAGTCTAAAGGAGAGGAATAAAAATGAGTTTGAAGACGTGATCTAAAAGTAGAAAGAGAGGGGAGGTTTTTTAATCTTAATTTTAATTTTCCCCAGATATCAGGATGATCTGAACAGCCGGTCTGTAACCCCGGGTCTACAGTAGTCTGGGTCCACAGTGGTCTGGGTCCACATTAGTCTGGGTCCACATTAGTCTGGGTCTTCAGTGGTCTGGGTCCACAGTAGTCTGGGTCCACAGTGGTCTGGGTCCACAGTAGTCTGGGTCCACCGTGGTCCGGGTCCACCGTGGTCTCCCTGCAGGTTCACATGTTTTCACTGTGTATTTGAGTTTCTGTAAACCTTCCTGTCTGTGAACGGTTCTCAGTCGGGTTCATCGATCACAATTTTCTGTCCGATCTTCGATCTTTAAAAACCTCGACCTGCTGATACCGATTTTTCTTATTTTGTTCTAACTGACGACATAAACCTTCGATGTTCTGATCTTATTTGAATGAAAAACATTGAACACCTTTAAATCAACACAAACTTGTGTTAAACTGACCCGAGGTCGTTCTCTCAGATGGAAATGAAAAGTTGAGAATTTTTCTGTCCAAACTCCTAAAATATTTCGGCTCCTTCGTCTTTTATTTTCCACAGTTTAAAAATGAACAGTACTCGTGTTGAACCCACGCTTGCAGTGGGTTCATACTCGGTTGATCGTGTTCTTGATGACTGTTGTTTGGGCCGCTGACGCACACGTGTTTGTGTGCACATGCAACCTGGTGGGCGGGGCCTGTCATTCTGGCAAAGCGGCTGACCCTCAGACCTTTGCTGAGGTCGAGAAGATCGGAGGATTAAATCGGTTTCATATGTAAGGACCAGCCGATCACTGATCCCCCAAAACTGAGGAAATCGATCGATCGGCCGGCGGATTTATCGGTGCGTTTTAGTTCTCAGTAATCTGCCTGAAAAGCTGAGAGGCTCGTGTTTCCACGGAGCTCAGCAGAAACTTCTCCTGATCCTGGAGAGTCCTGATGGTCTGATGTGTCAGTCTTAGTGAGTTTGGAGATCTGCTGCATGTTATTGATCACAGGCAGACGGGTCCTCTCTTCATCAGCCTCAGGAGGAGTTATTGTCCTCCTCATCGCTGCCTCAGTTTTGACTCGATAAATAAACTCGTTTCTTCTTCTTCTTCTTCGTCCCTCTGCGCTCAGACTGTGAAGTCTCTCTCGGGCTGAACTGGGCTGACGTTGCCCTTTGCTCCCTCTTATAAAAACCTTCTTTGGCAGGACCCGTTTCCTGGATAATGAAAAGCTGTAATTTGCAGAAGCTGATTAAAAGTCAAGGTGGTTGAGAGATTTTGTGAATGAAAGACAGAGCTGTTGTAAGACTGTTGAGGAAAGTTTTACCTGATTTACCTGAAGCTGTTTCCTCTCATAATCCTCACCTGAGAAGGAGGCGCTGTGGTGTCAGGAGGAGATTAGTCTCTAGGCTGTTAAATATCTATGATTTTTAAAGGCATGTCCTCCTGAGGGCCTGAGGGGGTTCCCACACTTCTTCTGTGTTTGTTACGTAAGCCTGAATGTAGACTGAACTCTGATTGGTCGAGGTTTCGGAGTGGTAGAATGGTGTGTGTTTTCATTGGTGGAGCCCTGATTGTAAAGGAAGTTTTACTGAACAGACTGAAGCGAACAGTGACGACTCTTCACAAACACACCGGAACGATGATGGATGACTTCTTCTTCTTCTTCAGTGTTAATGCGTGTAGCTGCTGCAGGGTTACAGGTGTCAGATCAGAGCCGAGTTACAACACAGTGGAGATCCTAAAGCTCAGATACGTTGAATGATTCAGTTTATCATGGCGAGATTTTTTTAGAGTCGGTGGACAAGTAAAGAGACGAGAGTAGAGCTGGGCGATATGGGAGAAAGTTTATCACAGTATATTTGTTTTCTTATATCAGCTGATATGGATCAATATCAGGATCTAAAAATCTAACAGTGTTTATTGGTCTCATGTCTTTTCCAACACAATAATCTCCTGCATCTGTGAGGTCTTTGTGTCTCTTTGGCGTTTTGTCGTAAGGCGTCGCTCTAGAGAAAGCCGACTGAATGGTCGTCTGTTTCGGCTCCTCGCTCCTCTCGGGGTTTGTAACCTTTTGCGTTGCGCGTGCTCTGCGGCGTGGCGCTGCTTCAGGTGGTGAAAAAGATTTGAGGTATTCCCCGACTTTGTGAGAACATGAACTCGACATAATTTACAGTCCACATTACTCTGCTTCATGTCCGACCTCCAAAAACCAAAATACCTCCACACCACCGACGTTTTCCTAACGCCAGTGTTGTGGTTGACATTGATGTGGTCATCTGTTGAGCCTTCATGGTCATTTCTGTCGGGGGTAGCACTCATTTTCTTTGTTTCTCACCAACAGTGCTGTCGGCTTCACCTGTTAAAGTGCTATGGTTGGGTGGAGCTGCTGTCTGCTACGACGCTGCAGTTGGTTGATACTTGGTTCTAATTCAGAACATGATTGGTTCAGACCCGGAGAAACTCCCCTTTTCATTGGCTGTTCCTATAGTCGACCAAAACATGTCAGAATGACGACTATTGAAAAGGATATTGATCATGTTTTATATTGATATTGAGGGAAATAAATTTTGGATATATATCGTTATGGTTTTATCGCCCAGCCCTAGACGTGGGTTATCTTCAGGTGGGTCGGGTTCAGGTTAGGATGGTTCAGAAGCATCAGGAGTGAATTCATTAATATGAAGTGGTGACAGTGAAGAGGCCTGTGGTGTGGGGTCAGAAACATGAGTGGGTCTCTCATGAGTTCACAGACCGTGTTGGTTTCACCTGAGTTAATGAAGAATAAACTCTTATTCCTGATTAACGTGGACTACTCAGTCTGTCTCAGCAGAAGGAGAACGAGTCTGTGGACTAGATTATGGTCTAAGGGCACCGTGGTTACCATGGAGACCTGGGCGTGGCTAAGAGCGTGTTTTATGGCCCCCATAAGAAGCATGAGGCCACCCAGTTGTCGCCTCGACACCTCGAGAGAGAGAGAGAGAGAGAGAGAGAGAGAGAGAGGGAGAGAGGGAGAGAGAGAGAGAGAGAGAGAGACTGGAAGGAGTTAATGACCCATTTGGCTTCAGGAATGACTACTTCAGGAAAACTGTGTGTGTGTGTGTGTGTGTGTGTGTGTGTGTGTGTGTGTCTCACCTGTCATTGTCGTTATTTTTAACCCCTGACTCAGTTTGTTTGGGGTCTGAGAGGAATTAGACCTGATGACCTACAATAGCAGCTATTTGCTGCCAGAGAGCAGACACAGACACACACACACACACACACACACACACACACACACAGGAGGGTAAACTGCACTGAATTCTCCTCTTATTTCAACCTTTTCTTTTATCTGAACAAGGGAAAAAAAATCATTGATTACAGTTTCAGATGGAAACAGACTGAAGGAGAGAAATCTGAAAATTCTGCTGAGACAAAATTTAACTGATGAAATATTCTTCAGTCTGATTTATTTAATGTTCACTGAAGCTGAGCGATTATTATCAAACTTAATAAATAAATAGATAAGTGAGTAACATCGAGGAAACACAGATCACCTGAAAAACTGCTGACCACTTCTCTCAGTCGTCCTCCGTCACCTAACTGTGTTTGAGTTATTTTATTTTGAAAAGTAATAATCTGTTAAAGGGGCGGTCAGCAGGAACCTGTAAAAGAAGCATCTTTATATTTTGTGGTTATTATACAAAAAATCTTTTAATATCAGTCAATAGTTATTAGTTATTGATTATTTGGTAATATATCGATATCTCTGTGTTCTCTTATGTCTGTGTCGTCAACATTTGAACATTTTTGAGCGGTCCGCTCTTTCTGACTGTAAACAAAGCCGTTCTCCACCTCCTCTAACCTGATTGGTTGTGAGGCAGACGCTGCTCCCCCGTGTCGTTCAGGAGCCCAAACAAAGTTAGCGTGCTACAATATCGGACAGTAGAAACCAACCAGAAAGTTCGGAAAATTGTCTGAATCCTCCTTTGGCCACGACTGCCGACACAAGCAAGAAAACACTCAAACATAAACAGTCAGCAAGAAAACCGGTCAACAAGAAAACCGGTCAACAAGAAAACAGGCAACACCAAAACAGTCAGCAAGAAAACAGTCAACACCAAAACAGTCAACACCAAAACAGTCAACAAGAAAACAGTCAGCAAGAAAACAGTCAACAAGAAGACAGTCAACAAGAAAACAGTCAACAAGAAGACAGTCAACAAGAAAACAGTCAACCATAAACAGTCAACACCAAAACAGTCAACAAAAAAACAGTCAACAAGAAGACAGTCAACAAGAAAACAGTCAACCATAAACAGTCAACACCAAAACAGTCAACAAAAAAACAGTCAACAAGAAAACAGTCAACAAGAAAACAGTCAACACCAAAACAGTCAACAAGAAAACAGTCAACAAGAAAACAGTCAACAAGAAAATGCTGCTCCCCCGTGTCGTTCAGGAGCCCAAACAAAGTTAGCGTGCTACAATATCGGACAGTAGAAACCAACCAGAAAGTTCGGAAAATTGTCTGAATCCTCCTTTGGCCACGACTGCCGACACAAGCAAGAAAACAAAGTAAATACCGGAGACTCTGGAGGAATAACGGGCGCTTAAAACGGAGGTAGACCGGACAAGAGCTAAAAAGCCGGGTCAACATAAACCATGGGGGACGCTTGGGGATCTTGGTGACCCTGTAACCTTTCTGCTGGACAGGTAAACCGCTTTAACAAAGTAAGACAAGTGTCTGTAACAGAAGTGTTTCTTGTCAAACGGACCTGCTGTAGCGTGTTGTAGCGCCATCGCTAAACTGTCCTCCCTCGGGTCCTGGACTATGTCACTTTATCCTCGTTGTAGAAGTCCTGCAAACATTGTGTTTGCTGGTAGTCTGTTGGCATCTACAGTAGCACCAATGCTTTTGACTTTCACCTTGACTGGGCCCCATTTGTAATGATCTGAAGGATTTATCTGCATTATATCTGAATTTAACTGGAACGATACGAGCGAGCAGGAGCGTCTGTTTGTGGGCGGGGCTTGAGGGGAGAGGAGGAGCTGAGGGGAAAACTGGTTGGAGGGGTGGAGTTTACATTCAAGATTTCTCCTAAAAACTGGAACTTCATCAGATCCTGACTACAACACCTTTAAGTGGACAGATGCTCAGATGTCAGTCATCCAGTTCATGCTTTTGTTTTGAAAGGACAGAGTCAAGTTACAGCCGTGAAAACTTAGATTTAAAGATCGTAAACACGGGTGATCTTCACCTCCATCATCATCACTTATTTGACTTCTACATTGATCCTGTGACTCTCGTCTTAAAGGTGAGGTGTTATTTTATACCTGGAGGATGAAAAGTGCTGATGTAGGAAACATTAAATGTAGTGATGAGTTTTTCCTCCAATCACTGAACTGTTGAGTTTTTCGCTGAGTTGGCGGTGGGGCGTCTCATCAGACTGAGGTCAGGACGGCGCCTCAGGAGGAGTGATGAGACTTGAACGACTCTCTGGGTTTTGAATGATTGTTGGATTTTTGTTTCATGATCAGCTGTGGAGAGAAAGGTCTCTGCTCAGTCTCTCACAGACCAACAGAAACAGTCGTCCTGGCTGTTGAGGAGCTGTTAGCCCGCCAGCAGCTGAATAATGGATCGTCTGTGTGCCTGGAAGGCTGATGGAGCTGCTGAGCCGGGCGTCTAGACCAACCCCGACATGCAGCACAGAGCTCCATGCACTCTCCGTCTGGATCCAGATGAAAGCTGTGCTCCTCCAGGATAGATTTTTTTTTCTCCCTCTCCTCCACTCGGTGTTTTATCTGCTCCGCTGATGTGAAGGCAGATTAAAGGAGGGCGATGGTGCATCTCTAAGCTGTTA